TATAGATGCTCTCGGAAAGCTAAAACAGTCTCAAGTGGACACAGAGTTGAGAGTAGATATCGAGAGTTACTCTCAGAAGTTTCTCTCAAGTGGACACCTACCATTATGCAGGATAAAGTTGGTTTTGTACCAACGAATAAAAACTTTGAATAGTTGATTTAAATTTCTCAGTGTCTTATCCCTGACTTTGTTCACCAATAAAAATGATTTAGTAGATAAAGTTTGTTTATTAAAAATGCAAGAAACGTATTAATTAATGAATAATTAAATATGAACAACAACTTCAAGAACTAAACAGTCACAGACTGTGTCATCTTCTTCTACTAAACTTACTGGTTGTAAGGTTAGAACAGTTGAGTATCAATGAATGAAATCTTCGGTAGTATAGAGGAAGATTAGGGATCATAAACTGAGCAGCGGACTTTCCATTGAAACGATGTTTATATGGGATATGGAGCCTTATCTATCATTTTCAAAGAATCATTTTTTAATTTTATCGCTTTATGTATTTAAAAATAATGAGGAATTTTTAAGCGGGAAACTCGTTTCGAAAAATTCATGAATGAAAATGATCAGTAAACTCACGTTACTATAGTAACTAAGTGGTATTTAACGTTTTCCTCGCCTACTATAATTAAAATTTTAAATATTAATCTTTAATATTTTAGAATTAAAAAATAACGCTTATTTTCCCCAAATACACCATGCGTGCAATACATTATTGGAGAGCTAAAAATATGCTCTTTTCAGTAACACCATAATCTACTATAGTTTGTATTTAAAAAAATACAACTTTGTGTTGTATCTCAAAAATCATCAAATATTTTTAAAATTTTTCAACGGCAGTATATTCTACTTAAAAAAGTGTCTTAAGAACGTATCAACCTCATTTCTCTAATTTCAAAAATAAACGAAATATGAGCATTTTTTGAAATCACGAAAATTTGACTTTTTGGCTATAACTTAAAAACAAAAGAAGATAGAGGTTTGGTGTTTGCGGGATTGGCNTCTACAAACGGTTTTGAATGTTCAATTCCATCAGACAACCTACTTTTTGACGGTAAATTACCTTTATTATATATTTTATAATTTTAACTCCAATTCTTTATGTAATACTTATATGTCATTTCCTGTTGCTTTTTCTTAAATTTTAGTCGTGCCAAAGAAGAAGAATCATTAGATTCGAAACATATGTACCACTGATTTCATAAAGAAATTTATACATCGATTCAACTTATGAACTTTTATTCTATGATTTATACGATGTACCTGGTATCCACTATATATAAACTCAAAAAAAGAGACCGGGACATGGCACCTACCTACTGGTTTCTGAGATAGCCTATAATAACACCCAAATTTGCCCACCCTGTACAGGGTGGTTCAAATTCGATGTCCGAATAGGCTAACTCGAAAACTATAAGAGTTAGAAGAAAAGTAGCTGACATGTCATGATCTCGTTTTTCGAGAAACTGCTAATGTCGAAAACCTCATAGCGTTATCGTCTTTTGTTTTTCCGCTAGAGGCCAAAATTGAAAATATCGTAAAACCCGCAAATGTAATTATCTTGGTTATTATCATAGGTGGAGTATTATAACTAAGACATTATATGGACACTTTTTTACAGAGAATTTGATGACGTAGTCAAAAAAATTTTGTCGGGTTTAGATTTTGAGATATTATCACAATTTTCGTTTTTTTAAATGGAAACAACCACTGATTATTCGCTTAATAAATTCGTTATTTTTTTCTGATTACAAAAATATAGGGTTTGACAGGTCTATTTCTTATTGTTTTAGAATAAAACTAAAAATAAACTTTTTTTTTAGTGTCAAAGAAATTAAATTTACAGTTTCCTGTAAATTATAACTAAAGATTAAAAAAACATATTTCTGATATTTGAAACAAATATATTTGTTGAACTGTTTAATTTATATATGTTTTACACAAAAGTTGGAATAGATTGCATTATTTCACATTTTTTATTACGATGTAATATTATTTTTAACTGACTTAATAAATTATCGATAGATGGCGCTCATGTTTTTTTTTTTAATTCAAATAAACATAGCAACATTTGTTTATATTCAAAAATTTTCTGAGGTGTCACTTTAAAAATCCTGTTTTTAAGATCAATTACGAAAATTTTGAAAAGTTTGACATGTTAGAATGTTACATATTAAAAAATTATTTGTTTTCAAATACCAGAAGTTATCTTTGTATTTAATTGTTAACTTTTTAGATTTTACCTACCGCCCCGTAACTTACAGGAAACTGTAAATTTAATTTCCTCGACGACACTAGATGGAAATTTTATAAAAAAAGTTTATTTTTAGCTTTATTCTAAAACAATAAGAAATAGACCTGTCGAACCCTATATTTTTGTAATCAGAAATAAATAACTAATTTAATAAGCGAATAAGTGGTTATTTCCATTTAAAAAAACAAAAATTCTCATGATATCTCAAAATCTAAAACTCAAACATTTTTTATGCTATGTCATGAAATTCTCTGTAAAAAAGTGTCCATATAATGTCGTAGTTATAATACTCCACCTATAATAATAACCAAGATAATTGCACTTACTGGTTTTACGATATTTTCATTTTTGGCCTCTAGGGGAAAAACAAGAGACGATAGCGCTATGAGGTTTTCGGCATTAACAGTTTCTCGAAAAACGAGATCATGACATGTAAGCTACTTTTTTTCTAACTCTTATAGTTTTCGAGTTAGCCTATTCGGACATCGAATTTGAACCACTCTGTATACTGGAATAAAATTAAATGGTCAAAGAATCTTAAATTTAAATATACAAAATGAATAAATAATAATCAAAATCTAAAGAAAAAACAATAAACACGACAAACTTAGTTGTTAGGTTAAAAATATAGAACATAGAAAAATAGAAAATATAAGTTTTAGTTTTAAAGCAAACGGTCTTACTGAAAATATGTTTAAAAAGAACATAAAATGCTCTTTCAAACAACACCGAAAATATTCAAATCGGTTGAATGGTTCAGGAAATATTAAAATGTAAACATATTAAAACGCATTGACCTCCCCCTCCCTTATTATGACAGATATGAGAAATATCGCAAAATAAAAGCGATGCGGTATTATCCAAGCTATTAAATGATGTCAAAATTATAGCTCATCGTCTAAGTTTCTGAGATAACGGGAATTTTATGTTTCTCAATGGCAGTTACGCCTCCTGGCGGTTGAATTACGAACTTCAAAATAATTTCCAGCTATTTCTCTTGGTCACTTTGCTTATAAGATTTTTTTCCCAAACCTCTAGGTCTTACCGTTGTAAAGATACAGCCGCTCCGTACGCTTAGCGGGACACCTGTATAAGAAAGTTTTACATGTAAACAAACTTTCCTTTTTGAAGTTTGTCATTTAAATGTAGTCTAAACACTATCACAAAATAAAATTTTTATATGTCTCAACAATTTTTTAATTGAGTTATAACAATGTTTCTCATAATATTTAATCTATGTTTACAAAAATTAATTAAGAATAACAAACATTCACTTTTATTTTCTATCATCATTTCCATTTGTTGGGTTCGTTCTTGAATGTAATCGATTCTTCTATTAATCAGTATCTTTAAAACGTTCGAAATCAACTTTAAATCAACCTCATTAAAATCATCGTACACTTTTGTTTTCCATTGGGTATCTCTTGTTGAAATGATATAAGAAATCGTTAAAAGATTAAACGTAGGTTCGTTTAAATGCCAAATCAAATTTTCGTTAATATTTTTCGCTTTTATAAATCGAACTTTTTCCTCATTAACTTTTATATTTTCAAATAATAATTGGACATCATCGTTTGTAAATTCAATGAAATCAAGAGGATTTTTGTCTAAATAAAAGCCATAATAACAAAATAAAGATAAATTGTCGTGTTTTCCATAACAAAAAAATAATTGAGAATTTTTTGAAAAAGTATTTTTTGTAATAACGTTTAAATATGAATTTTCGTTGATTTTTTCAAATTTTAATTCATCGTCTGTTTCAGATGAATGATTAAACATATCTAATAAAGGACATAAAACCATATTTGGTTCATCAATAAACAATTTTTCGAAGTTGTATCTTTTTGAAAAATGTTTCAATACTTTGTAATTTAAATAAAAACATCTCGTCATAAACAAAACGTAATTTTTATATAATTTTTCTCGAGTTATTATTTGGTTAAAATTGCGATTACAACATTCGCAGTTAAATTCTGTTAATATATTTTTTATTTTATCACTAAACTTATCAATTATAAAAAGATATTTGTTAATTTTTCGTAATATTTCATCGGGAATTAAATGATATTCTTCATTATTTAATCCCCATGGTACTAAAGGCAACAAAGACTCCTCTGGTAAACTATCCAAATAAATTTTCCACTTTGAATCATCACCTTTATGATCTTCTAAGCACATGAAAATTGTAAAAGCTTCCTCAGTTGACAACATTTTCGGAAATTTCTTAAGTATATCATAAAGTTTGGTCTCCTCAAAAGAAATATATGTTATCATAGCTTCGTATGGAATACTAACTAATTTATCATTGGGTGATATTTTTAATTTTGATAATATTCCACGACCTGTATCTTTAAAATGAGTTAATTTCAATTTCGTGTCATTTTTCCATCCTAAACGATTCAACCATTTTTTTAAATTAATAATTTTTAAATCATAATCCATAGAAAATTGGCTTAAATTCTTTCTTCTGCGAATTCTTTCTGTACGGCCCATCTAAAAAATTTTGATCGTCACTGTACAAAAATTAAATTTTTTTTTCCTTAATTTTTTTAATATATTTTTTAATACTATTAAGAATGAACAACAAAAAGAACACAAAGCAAAATTAATACTAATTTTAGAATATTGTAATTTTGCTAAAAAAATTAGAAAAAACGTATAATGACACTGACATAAAACATAACCTTAAAAACGCCAAATACGCAATGTGCCGCATTTAAACCGTGTTTTCCGTCAATAAAAAACGTCGCAAAAACCATTAATACGCTCAAATATCCGTGCCGTTAATATTATTCAAATTCTTTTACCTTAACTCGTTATAAAACACTTAAATAAGACTAAAATACATAACCTCACAAAAAAATCATTTTTAAGGTTAGAATGGGTACTCCTGATTTTGAAACGACAAACGGAAATGATTACGATGTTACTACTTCAATGAAAAAGAATTTTAAGCTTTTAGCAATTAACGACCAAGTAAAGGAGCTTCAAACCATTCTCAGGGATAAGTAAATAATAAAAAAAAACTAAATCTAACCTAAAACAATTTTAATATAATTTTATTTTTAAGAAATACTAGCAGAAGTGATTTTAAATTTTATGCCGATCGTTTAATACGTTTGGTGATTGAAGAAAGTTTAAATCAGCTTCCATTTACTGAATGTAAAGTTGTAACACCAACAGGAGCCACCTATAATGGCTTGAAATATCGTTCGGGCAATTGCGGTGTATCAATTGTTCGTTCTGGAGAAGCTATGGAGCAAGGTTTACGGGATTGCTGTCGAAGTATTCGTATTGGAAAGATTTTAGTTGAGTCGGACGTTGATACGCATGAAGCTAAAGTAGTTTATGCTAGATTTCCTGAAGATATTTCAAGAAGACAAGTATTATTAATGTATCCTATAATGTCTACGGGAAATACAGTAACTCAAGCTGTAAAAGTACTTAAAGAACATGGTGTGAAAGAAGACTGCATTATTTTAAGTAATTTATTTTGTACTCCCACAGCTATTAATACGGTTATGAAATCTTTTCCGAAGGTAATACATAAATATTAATTTGTAATAAATAAGTGAATGATATTTTTTGTTTTTTAGTTAAAAATTCTAACTTCCGAGGTTCATATTGTGACTCCAAATCATTTTGGGCAAAAGTATTTTGGTACAGATTGATAGAGAAAAAAATGGTTTTTTACGTATTATTATGTAATAAATGTTTTGTACTATTATAATACTTTGTAAATGTTTTTATCTCTTTGTATCATGATTTCTTAATTCTATTATCTTTATATTCTAGTATTGAGGTTAGTTTTATAGGGTATATTTATTTCATTGTGTTATTAATTAATAAATCTCATTAATTTCAATTTATTTGGGTTTTAATTTATTATGGATTTGTTACAATAAAATTACAGTAAAACCTCGATATAATGAACCTCGTTAAAACGGACTTTAGATAAAAGGGACAAAATACTTTTAACCCTCTTGTCAATACCGGGATTTCCCCCTTTCGTTTAATACCCGGGTACCCATTATACAAAAACGATATTTATGGCAGCTCTAAGTTGATGAGTGAACCAGGGTTTCCCCCTGTAACGTATGCGGAGATAGTGGAAAATAAGAAGAACCCGTTCGAAGTTGAAAGCGAACCCGACGCAGAGTCTGAAAGCGAGAATGAAACAGACACAGAGAATGAAGCGATATCTGCTCTTCAATCGCTCGAATCAACCACAGATTTTGTTGGCAAAGACAAAACTATCTGGGTTCGGACACCTACAATTCAACGGCAACATGCGATTCGGAATATTCTTCGGCAAAGAAGTGGTCCTGATAAAGACACAGAAACGTTATCAATCGCCGAAACATTCAAAGTAATTTTCACCTTCGAAATGGTAGATATTATCGTGCGTCATACGAATAGGAATAGGAAGGCCTCTCAAGTATATCGAGCGTACAACGAAGCTAATCCGACGAAAAAACAGCTTTCATGGAAGGACATTACGAGCCGAGAATTTTACGGATTTTTGGGGATTTTGATCAGCTCCGGAGTAAATAATTCAAATTACGATCATACGACTGACATGTGGCGATCCTCTTCTTATCCTCCTGTACCGAGCGACGATGGGCATCAATAGGTTGTGGAATATACTCCTATTTATCCGTTTCGATGACGCAAACACTCGAAGAGCTCGCATTGAAAAGGATAAGGCAGCTCCGATATCTGACATTTGGACGATGCTAAATTCCAATTTAGCAAAAATGTATAAGCCAACAGAGTAACAATCGATGAGCAGCTTCTTCCGTACCGCGGACGAACAAGATTCACGCAATATATTCCGTCGAAACCGGCGAAATCCGGCATAAAGGTATGGTGGATATGTGCTGCCAAAAATTCATATCCACTTCAGGGACAAATTTATACTGGAAAAACGGCGGAGCGTCGCGATGTGGCTGAAGTTAGATTCACTCGCCAGACACAGATTCGAATATTTACAGTCGATCAAACAAGTAGTGGTGCTAAAATTTTATTTCAAATATGAACTTCTTTTGTCACCACTTAGGAGCGTTTCACTCTAAAATCACGCTAAGTACTTAAGTTGAACCCTCTAGAACCCCCGTGCACGATCAGAACCCCCGAATTTAGAGATGGGGATGCAGGGTGAGGGTTTAATTTTTGTTAATTTTGTAGAGTAACTTCACGATTTTTTTTCTCATCCCCCGTGGAGTGCTTCACTTTGCAACCACGTTAAATAATTAAGTCGAACCCTCTAGAACCCCCGTGCGCGATCAGCACCTACGAATTTAGAGATGGGGATGCAGGGTGAGGGTTTAATTTTTGTTAATTTTGTAGGGTAACTTTAGGGTTCTTTTTCTCATCCCCCGTGGTGTGCTTCACTTTGCAACGACGTTAAATAATTAAGTCGAACCCTCTAAAACCCTCGTGCACGATCAGCACCTCCAAATTTAGAGATGGGGATGCAGGATGAGGGTTTAATTTTTGTTAATTTTGTAGGGTAACTTTAGGATTTTTTTTCTTATCCCCCGTGGTGTGATTCACTTTGCAACCACGTTAAATAATTAAGTCGAACCCTCTAAAACCCTCGTGCACGATCAGCACCTCCGAATTTAGAGATGGGGATGCAGGGTGAGGGTTTAATTTTTGTTAATTTTGTAGGGTAACTTTAGGATTTTTTTCTCATCCCCCGTGGAGTACTTCACTTTGCAACCACGCTNGGTTTCCCCCTGTAACGTATGAGGAGATAGTGGAAAATAAGAAGAGCCCGTTCGAAGTTGAAAGCGAACCCGACGCAGAGTCGAGTGCGGGAAGTTAGCCCCCCATTTTTTGATTTTTAAATTTTTTTTTGTTCTAGATTGTTCTAGAGTTGTTCTACATTGTTCCAAAGCGGCAAATCGAAAACATAAAAACTCCGCGAGAAAAAATTTTTGGAAAAATCAAATTTTCTTTGTTGTTCTGGGTTGTTCTAGTTGTTCTAGTTATTGTTCTAGAAAATCAAAATTATGGGATACAGCATTACGAAGTTATATCTAAAAATAGGTTTGGCCGCCGAAATGTCTAGTTGATTGCTGTGACCATAGTTTTTCTATTATCAATTCCATATTACAAATATACAGGGTGTATCTGAATGACACGCCCAAACTTCAGGGGGTGATTCTTTAGGCAATTTTAAGGGTACTTTGATATATAAACCATGGGCGACTTGGGCTCCTCTAAGGAGCTACACCCCTCCAAAAATAGCGGAAAATTTTGGTTTAATTTTTTTTTCTCAAAAACCTTAAACGCTAGGAAAACAAAATTTGGGGAATATGTTTAACTCATAGTAGCGCACGTTTTCACCCTATTTGTACTTTCAACCTCTCCTTCTTCTAAACTACTAAACGTAACCACCCCCTTTACATTTTTGCTAAATCCTAAAATTTTTTGTCTCTCTAAAATTTTTCCAAAAACGACTAATTGACAGGAAATTGATACGTAGGCACTGTGTTCGTAAACTTGTTTATTAAAATAGAACGATATACATGTGGTCGGTTCGAGGTATTGGAATAAGACTGAACTTGTTCGTAACATCCGATCCATTAGAAACCGAAAAATATGTCTCGTCGACTTAACGCACATGGCGATTACAAACGTAAATATCTTCCAACACTAATTTTTGAGAAAAAAGAATAATAAAGCAAACACTGCCCGTTAAACAACGGGGTTGTCTATCAAAAGTTGGAATGAATATTTAATGAAAAAATCTTAGTGGGCTTTGCAATCTTTGTCAGAAATATTTTTAACGTTTAAATGTCAGTGTTTTTCTTACTATTATTATTGTTTTTCAAATTAATTTTTGAATAAAGTTCTACCGAATTTACGCTCGTTCACTCGACGTTTCAAAATTTTAAATAAAACAATAATAATAGTAAGAAAACCACTCACATTTAAACGTCAAACATATTTCTGACAAAGATTGCCAAGCCTGCTAAGATTTTTTCTTTTAAAATTCATTCCAACTTTCGATTAATAACGCTACAGCTTAACAGTTAGTGTTTGCTTAATTCATTTTTTTCTCAAAAACTATTAACTTTTCGAAGAACATTAGAGAGGCAAAAAAGTTTTAGAATATTTTCGTCTATTTAAATAAAATATTTCCAATGTATTTATCACCGTCATAAAAAAGATCTAGACAAAAATTGAACGGGGGTGGTTATGTTTAGTAACTTAGAAGGGAAGATTGAAAGTACAAATAGGCTCGAAACATGCCCTATTATAAGCTAAACATATTTCCCAAATTTCATTTTCCTGGTGTTAATGGTTTTCGGGAAAAAAAAAATAAACCAAAATTTTTCGCCATTTTTAAAGGGGCGTAGCTCCGCAGGAGAGTCGAAATCGCTGATAGTTTATACAAGAAAGTACCCTTAAAATTGCCTAAAGAATCACCCCCTGAAGTTTGGGCACGTCATTCAGATACATCCTGTATACTTATTAAAGCTAACGCAATCTGGAACAGCTATTATTTTCACTAGAACAACTCTCTAAACCGAAACAAAAAATAATAATAATAATAAAAAAATAATTTATTCCTGTTAATGGTTCAGCCCTTTTTTATATGTTGCTTTACTAGAAACGGTTTTTGAAAATAATTTTAGGAAACAAGCAATCTGTGCAAACATTCTCAACATGACTTCTAAATGAATTGTGTGTACGGGCAAATGCTAAACTATGAAATATACTGTCGAATCCGCAAGTATTTTCAACAATATATTTTTTATTTTTTATTGAAATAGATATTAATGAAACTTACTTGTGAATTTATGAAAGAATTACTAACTGAAACTTCCAAAAATTTTAATTTTCAAAAAGTAAAGTGTTCTTTATAGAGTTGTTCTAGTGAAAATATTAGCTGTTCCAGATTGCTTAGGTATAATAAGTATATATTTGTGATATGGAACTGAAAATAGAAAAACTCTGGTCACAGCTTTAATTATATATAATATGGATTGAGCCAACGAGAGAGATAGCTTGCGCAAGGTGATCGAACCGAGATAGACATAGAAGCGTACTGACATATAATGGGCGTGCGTTACGTTNGCTCTTTTATCGTAGGAATTTAATTTCCAGTATTCCTTAAAAAGAACAAGTCTTTTTTCTTCAGAAATTTTAACTCGGCATTTTCGTCTGCATCGCGGTAAAGGCAACATAGTTCTTTCGTTTGATGTCGTGAAGTGTTTGTATTCAGTGATTGACAGTTCGTTTCTTTGAGTGTTCGAATTCAAAATACATCAAATTAACGTAGAAAATTTGTTTTTTAAAGTTTTTATAAATCTTATTCTTTTGCAAATATTTGACAGCGAGAAATAAATAGTGGTAATAAACAATAATAGTAATAAATAGTAGTAATAATAGTCGTGGAGTATGTGATTACAAACTAGGTAAATAAAAGTACGATTTAATTAATTACTTTGCTTGAATGTGGCGTTTAACCATAAATAACTATTATATACTTCAATGAAACTTTTTTTTAATTCCTAAAAATATCTCAAAATATCGCATTTTTGTATTAATCAACTTCAAGTCTATCAAGTATATCAAGTCCTGCGTTGTTATTCGCTACAAAGGTTTAGCGCATAGTCACTCAAGTCTGACTTATGATACTTTTCCCTGTAAATACGGAGTGTAAAACCACATAAGTCTGACTTATGTTATTATACCCACCGCATATTGTCGCACTTCGACTAATGTGTATATACACATTCATATTTAACCCCTCTACGCTTCGTTATTGACTTATATGGTTTTATACAGTGGTGCATTTTCGGTTACAAAGGCTGAATTTGACTTAATACCAAAATGCGATATTTTGAC